CATGTGACCCTCAGACAGTAGCTGTTAACTCAAGATAAGCCCCAGTAAGGAATCTGGGAATATTCTGGTTGAAGTCCAGTTGGTACACACTGTTGTTCCCACAGGACATAGAAATCTTCTCTGCCCATCTCTGCAAGAGCTTCTCAGGAAGCCAGTGGCCCTTCTTGTCCCACCGTTTCCTCTCTCAGTTCACTGAACTGAATCTCATGAAACTTTGTTAGAGTCAGAGCTGAATGTATTTAAAGCCACATGTAGCTGTATGTGGTTTTCCTGTTAAATCTCATAACACCTGGCACATACATGCCCGAATAGGTTTGCTGAGTTGAAACTCACAGAATGACACCATGAGCTATAAAAAGCCATCTTCTCAGAAACAAAGGCATCTTTTTGTTTCCATGGCTTGGTCACAATCCAGATGCACAGAAGACTGTCCTGTGCCACACTGAGGGAGGGAAGATGAACAAACACAGGCTACCCTCAGAAGGCAGCTGCGGTCAGGAGAACCTCTCCATCTGGGAAGAGGACAAGCTACTTGACCACAAGATTTTACCAAAGCAACAGCAACCCCAAAACCTCCTAGGGGCCCCGCATTCCCTGTGGCCATGGTGAAGATACAGTTTGCTCATCCACAGAAATAGACACAAAATAGCTGGGATAACCAGTCAGAACCAAAGGAAAAATAGGGACCCCAGCTTCCTGAGCTATTAGGGCATCATGGCAGAAAGGTGTCCATCACAGTTCAGTATCACAATAAGTACTGCCACAGAACCACCTGTGATGAGAGTATGAAATGAACAGCCCAAATATTTAGTGCCACTTATGACAGGAAAGGGGGGTTGATGGACCCTCCAGGAAAGGCTTTCTTGAGAGTAAATAACGTACTCCACGAAATAGGCCACCCGTCTCTTAGCTCTGGCCGAGGGGGCATGATGATCTGGAAGTGTACAGGAAAAATGTCACACTTTAGTGGAAGAATGTGTCACCTACAGCCACCTTTTTTCTCTGTTAGATTTTTTTTTTTAAATGACAACTCTTTTTTTTTTTTTTTAAGATTTATTTATTATATTTATACAAGCACTGGGTACAGTCAGAAGCACAGGAGGGTGTGAGAGAATTCACCAGAGCCAGAGCGGGGAGCAGAGCAGGCAGAAGGACCGAAGTACACTGCTGAGGGGAGCAGTGGGTGGCAGGAGAGGTCTGCGCGCCATGTGGGACCCTCCTCTGGTGGCCGGGGAGCAGCCAGGGATCGAACCGGTGCTGCAGAGGCTGCGGGCAGCTTCGCAACCCAGCGCTCAACCGCTGCGCCACCGGGGAGGCCCCCATGTTCTCTATTAGATTTTGATCCTATGGGATCTGCTCTACTACTCTTTGTAATGGTAGCTCTCATCATACTTCTTCAGCCTTGCCCAGCAGAGTTTCAATTCATTTCCTCCTCCTCCCCACTTTATGGATAAAACTGTTTCTTGACTTTATGCAGAACTAGCATTGCTTCTGGCTTGTCCTCTGAATGGGTTACAACATCTGCCTGGTTCCCTCATATGAATAAAATAGATTGTATGAGAGCCATGATCTTACCTCTTTCTAAAAATTATCCTTTTGGGACATAAGTCTAACCTGCCTTCTGCTGAGCAGCTCCCAGAGGGCCCCATGCTGGCTGAACATCGCCACTGGAAGGCCAGAGGCCCCTGTGCCTGGGATATAAGGATGGCACAGTGAGTTCCCAATGCAGGGCAGGCCTTGCAGCTCTGGTGGTGACCACCTCCACCGCTCCCACAGCACTAGCTGCAGATGTCTGTTTGAAGTGCTCCATGCCTAGAAATTCCATTTGATCCTACAAAGACCCTGAACGCTAACTTTTCTTACTCCCCTCTGACAACTATAGAGGCTAAAGCTCAGAAAGATAAAGCAACTTGCTCAAGGCACTCAAGTAGGAAGTATTCAAGGAAGAATTTCATCAAAGTTTGTCTATTCATGCCCAGGAAACTTTACTTGGCAAAGATTCTAAGTTCTAGAATCTTTCCATAGTTGAGATTTAGTTCTTAACTAAACTTCCATGAAGAGATTCCCAAGAAGTACCGTGGTAGCCTCCCCAGTCTGATAGGATTTCCAGAGCTCCTCCACGCTCCCTCTTTTTATTGCTGCCGCCCACTGATCAGCAGATCTTATCAGCCATGATCAAGCAGCATTAACTTCTTAGTCCATGCTTCCAGTGTGGCTGCAAAACTTGGAGATCCTACTCCATCCCTCTGGTATGTTTCCTCCTCCACTCTTCTCAAAGACAATTTTAAACCTCCTCTGTTCAAACTTCTTCTATTAAAACCTCTCCCCCACTCAGTCTCCCCGCAACAGGGCCTTGCATCTGACTACACAGAGAAAATAGATGTCCTTTCATTCTTCCACTACAAACTGCCTCTAAACACACGTATGCACGTGCGTGCGCGCGTGCACGCACACACACACACACACACACACACACACACACACACACACATTCCTGCTGGGGTTAATCCTCACCTAGGTTTTTAATCAATTCCCATTACTTTCTCAGGAACTACTTACTATCTCCTCTTTTTAGTAGGTTAAATTTCTCCTCCTGTCAACTGGTTTCTCCTCGTTGACTCAATGGCTTTTATTATGGTAAAATACATGTAACATAAGTACCATTTTAGCCATTTTTAAGTGCATAGCTCAATGGTACACTATGGATGTTGTGTCTCCATCACCACCATCCACCTCCAGAAATTTTTTATCTTCCCAGCATCATGGCTTGGCTCCGTTCTTCTTCCTCATCTCTCACCACAACCCCATACACTGACCTCCTGACTTGCTAGGCCCTGCACCCCCAGTTTTCCATGACACCACCCATGCTGTTAGCGCTTCCTGCAAAGCTCTTATACCACTCTTCTCATCTCCTTCTCCCCACTTCCCCCCACAGCTGAGCATCACCTCCTTGCTTTTCCTGACTCCACTGACTATGGAAAAACTTCCATTTATGGACTCTGGTAGCACCTTGATACCCTCCTTTGTAGTTCTCTGTACAACTTTGTATTTCTTTGTGTAGCCATCCGAGCAACTTTAGAACAGGGGCCAAATCTGCTTTGCTCACCATGGTAACCCCAACACCAACTCGTTGTTTGCACACATAAATTTAAGAGTAGGCAAGAGTCATGGATATATGTGCAGTACTAAGTGCTTTGCATAGATTTCTCACTTATTCCTCAATCAACCCTGTGAAAGAGTATTATCCTCTTCTCTCCACAGATGAGTAAGTGAAAGCATTAATAAGTCGTGTATGATAATTTAGCTAATAAAAGGCAGAGCTGGGTTTCAACCCTAAGCATACCACTTGCAGGTCTACGCCCTGCTCGCTACACTCTCCTCAATACTGCCCATATCTGTAGAAGGAAGGACAGTAGAGAAGAAGGAAAGGCAGGGAAGGAGAGGGGAAGCAAGAGAAGGGGAGGGGATGGAAGAAGACATGGAAGGAAGGAACCAAACTCCTGGATAGTTAAGCATTAACCCTATCTAGAAACATAATTTTCTTTCACAAAATCACAAGTTAGGCGTTGGCACTCCCTTGGGTACCCTCTGGTTCCATCAATTCAGTAACTGGGGCACAGAAAGGAAAAGGAAGACTCATCCCAATCCCTCTGCCTGATCTAGACTTGCCAAAGTCTGAGCAGCCACAGGCCCAGCCTCGTCTCCCTCTCACAGGCATCATGAATTCCACTCCACCCCCAGCCAGGCTTGTTTGAATGCCTCCCTCATTTTGTATACGTAACTGTCCTGCCAATCCCACTTTTTGGGACACCTCCCTACCATTAATTCTCCAAATCCCGCCCATCTTTCAAAGTCTAGCACTCGCTTCAGAGATTTCCTTGCTGACTAATCAATTTCTTTTAACCTTGCCTGTAGTAATTTTTAATAGAAGCAATGTAAAAACCCAAAACGTATTGTTGAATGATAATTATGCATGGGGAGCACATCGAGGCTACTGGAGGGTAATAGTGACAATACCATTACTACTAACAGTATTCAAGAGACAACAGAGTTGTCTGGCAACCAAGTTCTTCATTCCCATTTTTAAAAAGTTTCCTATGGCTGTAGGCCTCCAGTGGAAAGTAGGTCATGCAGCTAGTGGCTTCTGTCCCGCTGGTGAGCTCCTGAAAGCCAGGCAGTGAAGAGAGAGAGAAACAGAGAGTGGGGAGCTGGCAGAGGGCGGAGAAATGTGTATTCTGCCAGGACAGCATTAGAAGGACACTGACACCTCTGCCAGGATTCACTTCATGCCCAGAAGTCCTGGGATGTGTGCAGAGGCTCAACATTGACATTTGAACACCCAAGGCTCAGGTTTACTGAGGAAACAACTGATTGCAGGGTGTTAAAAGTGAGGTGAATGGCATGACAGCTCTCATGCTATTTTTGATATATGTGTGATCCAGCTCTTTCCACTAATTAAACCTATTAGCAGAAACTTGTGGCAAGAGTATTTTTCAAGTTCCCATGTGCTACCTGGAAATACTTCAGGAAGCTAATTATCTAGGGGAATTGATGAGGTTATACCTGAATTCTGCTGCGGCCTTACATCTGATCATGGGGTGCTCGTTTTACCACACCTGTGTAACACTCACAGCTTACACGCCCGCCCACTGACTCTTCACAACAGCATGCTTGCTCTGGAAAGTCTCAGTTCTGCTGTCCCTCATCCAACACCCCAGACAGGACCTGGCAATTGCAGGGACTGCAGGACTCTCCTCCTCTGAGCACCGGACACCTCCATTCATGGCAGACTAGTCCACAGGGGCTTTGTTGTGAACTTACCACCAGGTTGGCTCAGGTAGTCACTGTATTTTCCTGCTGCAATGAGGAATTCAGTACTCGGGGAGGTTAAGGGGCTGAATTAAGCAGGCGACTTTGATGTGCTTCTAGTAGATACATTCTACTTTAAAGCCCGTACTCTGCCTTCTCTGCCTCCAAATCTGTACAGAGGAGGATTTTACCTGCGAGTTCATCAGGCGGATGGTGGTTTTCGTGCCGACATCTTGTTGAAAGCTGGCTGTGGGTGCCCCATTAAATCTCAGGACAGCATCATGACCATCTATAAGCCACAAGGAAACAGAGAAGAGATGATAGACACCAGTAATATGCAGCACAAGGGGAGGTCTGCAGGGAGGGAGGATGGGGAAGGGAAGGCAAGAGAATAATCTCCCCAGTCTTTTCCCCATCATGGTACAAGGGGAAATTATCAGGTTTTATGGTGCAATAAGGTAAAATTAATGGGCAGAGATGACCACCTGTCTGCACAACCACCTCAAAGGCATTCCTGAAATTGCACCTGGAGACACCAGTGTGCCCAGACACCAGCAAAAAGGAGACAGGGGCAGTGTGTTCTTTATAGTGGAATCACTCTTCCGCTTACCAAAGAAGCAAAACCAAACATTGTCTTGATAGTTCCATTAGGTTATATTTCTATCCCTGTCAGAAAAATGAAAGCACTAATATAAGCTCTAACCCTTAAGTGCCAAGTACCTCGCAGCACCCCAACAAGCTCACAGTACTCAGCAAATAGGACAGATTCACTGTGACTGTCAAGACCACCCCATTTAGGACACGAGGCCAAGAATTGAAAAAAAGAATCATGGACAAAACCATGGGTAGAGCTTAAGGAAATTGATAAGGATGGGCCACAGCCCAGAGTGGCTCCCTAGCTATCACTACCCCCCACCTAATGTGGCAAGCGGAGCTCGGAGACTCTGAGCTGAAGGCCACTTTCAGGGAACTCTGCTTTAGGAGAATCCAGGCAGCCAGAAAATATCTCTCTCTTCTCTTTCCCTGACTTCTAGGCCTGAAGGAAAAGAGGAGAGTCTGAGAGGGCTGCTTGAAAGGGGCTGAGACTTTCAGCCAAGGGAGAAAGGCAGTCATGGTTACTCTGCAAGGGCGGTTTCTAGGTAGATGGAAACTCTGACCTCACGCTCAGTCTCATACCATGGTGTCTATTGTCCACTGCCAAATAAGAGCAATGAAGCCCAGTTGACACACTCCTAATTTTGATTCCCAGGGTACAGAATCAGATAGAAAACATGGGACAGTGTATTTGAAAGGGCAAAGAGAGAACATCCAGCACAGAAGGCTTAAGCTAGGTCTTTGGTGTTGACCATAAGAAAGAGAATTCAACTAAACTCATTAAGCACCTACTCCGTGCCAGGCAGCATTGTAGGTGCTAGAGACAGTGGTTGTGAGCCAGAGAGACAGGGTCCTTGATCTCAGATATCTCACAATCTACCGCAGGGAGATTAAAAAATCAGCACGATAACCTACACTCAAGATAATTATGGTTTGTGATTAATACTATGACACAAATAGACTGAGCTAACGGAGACCCTGAGGGAATCTCCTTCAGGTAGATTAGTGATTCAAGGAATGTCTGTGAACTGAGACCCCAAGGATGGTCAGGCATGGCAAGGGTCCAGAGAAAAGCATTCCAGTCAGAGGATGCAGCAGTGTCAAGACCCCCAAGAAGGAGGGTTGGAGGCAAATGAGTCAAGGAAATAAAAGCTGGCAGATCAGACAGACTATGGAGGCCAGGTATAAAGTTTGGATTTTATTTTAAAGAAAAAAAGAATTTTTTTTAATAATACCACTAAATTGGGCTCATAAAAAGGGGAACAGAGGGCCTCTCTGGTGGTACAAGGGGTTAAGCGTCAGCACTGTGAAGCTACCAGCACGAGCTACTGTATGAGTTCGATCCCCAGCCAGGCAGGTGACCCACATGATGCAGGAGACCTCTCCAGTCTTGCCCGCTGCTCCCCTCAGCAGTGTATTTAAGTTAATACACCTGTTCTGCTCCTCACTTTGTCTCTGGTGAATCCTTTCACCCTCCACACCTCTCGCCTGTACCCCAGTTCTTGTATGCATAAATAAATAAATCTTAAAAAAAAAAAAAAAGCAGGGGGTGGGGATAGAATCCTTGTTTGCCAAACTGTCCTTGCTATGAAAAGCAGAAAAAGTTTCAAAGTTCAAATAAGCCTCCCGGAAATCACCAGGAGAAATCCACAGCTACTAGGATTCCAGCAAACCAGAACCTTCCTCTGCAGAGGAGGCTACAGAAAACAGCCTCTTCTCTTTATGGAGAATTAAAGCACAGAAAAGGATGCAAATGAGAAAAGGAAGAGATAAATAAATCACTGTATAGAAATAATATAATTACATGCCCAGAAAATTCAACAGAACCAGCTCATTAGTAAATTCACAAGTACATCAGAATCCCCTGCCTCCAGGTATAGTAATTCTAAGTAGCTGTAAATAATGTAAATGAAAACAATTTATGACATTTGGGCCAGTTTTTATAGTCTGTAATTAGATTAATGAATAATCTATCCATTTTTGGAAAACTACATTTTGATTCTGGTTAGAGAAACTAGATATACCATGGATCATGGCTGGCAAACTACAGTGCTCAAACCTTGCCTATCCCCTGTTTCTGTAAATAAAGTATTAGTAGAACACAGCCAGGCCCATTTATTTCTTATTGTCTATAGTAGCTTTTGCATTGTGACAGGAGTGTTGAGTACTTGGACAAATGCTGTATGACTTCAAAATGGAAAATACTATTTGTCCCTTTCTAGAAAAAACTTCCCAGCTCCTGATAGAAATAATCACAATCTCTGCACTGCCTAATCCAATTCAGTCTTTTCAGTCCACACTCAAGACCTTGTCTTCCCACCCCCTCTACCTTTTGGCACACAGTACACTCTTGATCCTCCTCCAGTCCTCTCACGCCCTTTCTGAATTTTGTTTTGTTTGTTTGTCCCTAATCTTTTCCCTGTCCTTCCACACAATTTTTCCCCTAAATTTCCACATTGGTCACTTTCTCTGACTACAACAATCAACATGATATAAACGACTTCTAAATTTGATCTCCTACCCTGACCTGTTCCCAGAATCAACTACCCAACCACATAAAAATCCACCCAGGGGCCTCCCCAGTGGCACAGCAGTTGAGCGCTGGGTTGCGAAGCTGCCTGCAGCCTCTGCAGCACCAGTTTGATCCCCGGTTCAATCCCCAGCTGCTCCCCGGCCACTGGAGGAGGGTCCCGCATGGCATGCAGACCTCTCCTGCCGCCCGCTGCTCCCCTCAACAGTGTACATCGGTCCTTCTGCCTGCTCTGCTCCCCGCTCTGGCTCTGGTGAATTCTCTTACCCTCCCGTCTTCTGACTGAACCCAGTGCTTGTATAAATAAACAAATAAATAAATAATTCTTTAAAAAAAAAAAAAATCCACCCAGGAAAATCCACAAATGGTTCAGACTCAGCACATCCAAAATGGTAACTTTTCTTGCCAGAAACTTGCTCCTCTGTGATACAGGATAGAAACTCTGGCTCCTGCTTCTCACTCAGTGTCATTTCTAGTTACATAGCAAGTTCTGTCTTTACCTCATGATGCCTCTCAAATCAGATCTTTTCTCTCCACTGCCACTGCTCAGACAGGCCTGGCATGTCTCACCTGGATGTGACAATAGTCACTAATAAAAGAGAAATTATATAGTAATCCCCTGAATACGGGGATTCAGAAAGAAATGAGAAATTGTTTCTAACATTGCTCGCTTGCTCAAAAACCTCCTAGGGCTCTCCATGTCTTAAAGAATGAAACAGAAAGTTCTTAATATGACTATCAGCATCCTCTAAGAGCTGATCCCTTGCTACCTTTCTGGCCTCATTTCCAGCCCTCTCCCCAATGGACCCCACATGCCAGCCAAACAGGGTTATGTGTAATACCCAATGTACCCTGCACTTTCGCCCATGCAGACTTTGCTTCTTGCCTTGGCCTCAACTCAGCATACTCTTCTCCTTTCCTGAAGGAATGAAAGTTGGCAGGAATATCAAGGGACTTTCTTTTAATCTGACAAAGAATCATTATATCAAGTTTATTATAGAGCTATAACCACTAACAGATACAAAAGCAGAGGGGTCAAGTGTGGGGAAAATTCTATCAATAAAAATCCCAGTCTATTAACCAGTTGTGTCATCTCTTTGAGCTGCAACAATTAGCTCCTAAATAAAATGAACAATGGCACCTACCTCATAGGATTCCCGCAAGGACTGAAAGAAAAGCATGTTAGGCAGATAGCAGGTGACCAATAAGCATTATTCCTACTGGTCATAAGTTTTAAAATACATGCCAGTGTTTAAAATGAGAATTCTAACACATCTAAGACACTTTACATGTTAGGTATCAAAAATAATTGAAAACAGCTGAGCCCACCATTGACTGGTTTGTGGCACTGCCAGAGAGACAGTACGTTATGACAGCCTCTCTGGGCAACAACTGCACAGTGGACAAAAGAAGAATCATAAATGTGTAGCCCACTTCAGTCTTCTAGTCTCTCTTCTGAGGATATTTCCTGTTGACAGGCAGTAATAGTCAAGTGATCTGCACATAAACCTTGTTAGCAGCACTATTTGTGAGAACGAACAATTTGAAGCCAACTGCCACGTTGCATAGTTGGGAAGAGACTGGTCAAATCCCAGGTGTAGTGGGAAAGCTGTGAGCCTGGCATGCTGCCTGAAAATCACAGATCTTCAATCGTAGCCTTTCCCCTTTCCTCTGTGTATTGTAAGTACCTTGTTTGTATTTTTGAAGAGTTCATGAATGAATTTAAAAAAAAGAATGAATGCCTTAAAGTAATTGTTAGACTAAACACCCAGAGGAAATACCCGATAAGGAGCAGACCATTTGAAGCTGAACATGCAATTTTTGTTCTATCTCAAGATCAAAGTCCTCCCATGGAAATACATATTTGAAGTGATAGCTGCTATCTCTAGACAAAGATTATTTTACTTAATGTTTATTTAAGTCACTCAACACTGATGGAGCATTGACATGGGTGGCTTGGTGGAGGGTAAGCGGAGCATGTACACATATGAAAGAGCAAAAAAAACAAGCCCTCAAATTAAATATTAAAAAATGAAATACAATACAGATTCCCAGACCCTCAAAAATAAATAAGTAAATAAATCACTCAAAACTTTCATGGAGTATCTAAAAATAAAAGTTGTAGCTCCTGTTCATAAAGGTATGGGATCTACCTCAAAATTGACAGAATTCCAGTCAGACACACAATGATAACTTGACATGAAAGGAACGAGCTGACAGGTAGGATATTAGAAACATCACCATTAGGGAGCCAAAATGGGGAGAAAGAAAGAAATCTAGTCCCACCATGGATGAACAAAAGCCAACCACAATTAGTTTCTGGAAAATGAAGTCCAAAAGAAACCAAAAGGCAAAAGTAAAAGTTGGGTGGGGCGGGTCACTTGGCAGCTTTTATTAGTAAGTGCTGCCTATTTAGGGAGGCACAAAATGTGATCTCACCACTTCTTTCTGTTCTAGAGACTCCAATGTGGGTCTATTTTTTTTTTTTTCTTTTGAGAGCCTGAGAGCTTAGTTTCAGACCATTTTTCCTGGCAGTCATATGAAGGAAATAAAAAAGTAGACATATGACCTCACCTGCTTGTACCTTCCAGAGACTGACAAGGCTTCCTATGCTTGCTTGCTTTAGCCTGACCCACTGCACAATATGGAAAACACATTCTCTCAAAATAAGGGAAGTAAGGAGCTATAAGCAAATCTGTGTCTCTGTGTTGTATACATACTTATAAATATGGATAGACAATCTCTCTTATTACCTGCAAAGGATTTCAAGAAAAACAAATAATATATTCTGACCAGTGACTTTTAACCCTTCTTTCAATTGCCTCCTTTTGAATTGATTGACTGTGGACACTTCTGTTGAAAAGTGAACAGACTAACTTGCACACATGCACACACATTATGCACATCTAATGCAAAAAATACATTTGCATGAAATTTTAGGGATTTATAAACCACCTGAAGTTGGTCCCCAAATTAAGAATTCCTGTTCTACTTAATTCTTTTCGAAGAGAAAAACTGAGGATTACCCACGTAGTCGAAGTCAAAAGACAAAATTAGTCCTCAATTAATCTGCCAGGGTCCTCGGTGCTGCCTGAAGTGCAGACTGGGAACCAGACCCCATGGCCAGTATGTCCAAACTCTTCAACTCGGAATTCCTTGGCTTATAATTTAGGTATATTAAGAGATTTGTGCTCCAATGATTTTTAAATGTCAATGTAGTGTTTGCTTTTTGGTAGAGCAACTGACTTCCATTTGAAAAATGCAAAAATGGGGCCTCCCTCATGGCATAAGGGGTTAAGCTTCAGCACTGTGATGCTATCTGCAGCCACTGCAGCACGAGTTCGATCCCCAGCCAGAGAGGTGACCCACATGGCACAGCAGACCTCTCCTGTCTCGCCCACTGCTCCCCTCAGCAGTGTATTTAATCCACCTGTTCTGCTCCTCACTCTGTCTCTGGTGAATCCTCTCACCCCCCACACTTCTGTCCTGTACCCCAGTTCTTAATGCATGAATAAATAGATCTTTAAAAAAACAAAAGGTAAAAATGAATCAATTCTAACTGATGAAGATGTTGGGAACCTGGATCCCTATCCTTTCAGCTGCTCCCACGTACCCTTTGAATCATAAAAGACAGTTGAAAAAGACCGATGTGGACCCACTCTACTAGTCCTTGCTGTCAAACTTGGGATCTTGTCTCCAATCCTTTCCATATGCCCAGCTACTCCAAAAGTGTTCTAGCTGCTCAGTTAACAACTCCAGAACCCACCTATTTCTTGGCCCAGTTGGGAGGACTTCATAGATCCTGCTGATGAGACGACAGCACACCTGCCCCAAGGCCCAGCCTTGGTCCTAATGTTCTCCTTGGGCAGGTAATCCTCCCATTCAGAGGTATTGAAGGGAAAATCTGTGGCCTCAACCATGGATACGTTCACTTGGTCCCGGAGGTGGCACCTCAGGGCCTCTGCACTGAACTTGACACCCGGCCCTGGCCCCTGGTAGGACACTTTGTACTTGTTCATTTTCAGATAATTCTTCCAGATCTTCTGCAGCCTAGGGATAACGTTTTTAGAAGAGCTGTCCTTGTTCCACACCTGGTAAGAGCCCGCAGGCTTGGCCTTGACTGGGCCCCCGGAACTGTGGTGGGTCTGACTGTTCCTGCCAGGGTCCTGGGTGATGCCTGAAGAGGCAGACTGGGGACCAGATCCCATGTCCTGTTTCTCCAGACTCTTCAATACCTGAAATTCCTTGGTTTGTAACTTAAAGGAATCATAGTAACTTCCTTTCTTCTTTTCCTTCCACACACAGATAACAGCAAACAAGAGAAAGGCCAGCACACAGCAGCTGAACTTTTTCTTCACGTTGGTGTGAATCATAATGAAGATGCATTCAAGGAAGCAACTCTGTTCTGGGCGGGAAAACCAGCCTAAAGGAAGTTAGACAAGGCAAAAAATTAGGTAAAGAAAAGCTAAAAATACAAATGGCAAAGGGCAAGATGTAGGCTAAGTGATAGAGAATGACCGAACTTGAATTCCAACCTGGACCTACTACCCAGAAGTTCTAAAATCCTCAGCAACTCAAATAAATTCACTGTTGAGTTCAGGCTTTGAATGGCAAGAGCAGTCCTCAGACATTGCTGTCTTCCTCTCTGAGCCATGTATTCCCCTACCATTCCAATTTCCACCTTGATGTTCAGGTTTACATTATCTTCTATGGTTTCCTGACTGCATTCTGGGTCTCTTAAGTCAGAAGCCACATCTTATACCTCAGTAGGTTCCCAGCGCCACACAATCTATTAAATGCATGTTTGAAACTAGAAGAAAAAAGAGCAGGCTGGGCAGCTGCACCACCAGAACCCAAGCTCCCTAAAATCCTAAGTGGTCCAGCATCCTTTCAAAACTGCCAGAAAGAGATCACTTGCCATAGATAGTACCATCGATTCATGATGTATATAAGGCTGTGACCTTGGACTCCTGGTCCAAGAAGTAGCATTCAGAATTTGGGGGTGCTCTTGCAAGACTTTTATCAAGTTTTATCAAGGAAGCTGACTCACTTCATGATAAAGGTATGGACATCCTGATAAGGTAGCAGACATGTGACTAGTTAAGGAAATGAAGACTCATTAAGTAGATAAGATGTTGATTCTTGTCATTTAACTGTAACCGGAGACACTGCGATGTACCACACCAGCAAGCATGGTGAACCTGCATCTAATGCAAGGGCATCTCCTGCACTGTGCAGAAGCACTGACCCTCACAAGTCAGAAGGTGTTCTATGCTCCATTTTTATAGATCAGCAACATCAGACTCTGATAGTTGCAGAGACACAATTAGGATTACCAGCTGAGTACGTGGTAGTGCTGAAGTTCAAATCCAAGTGCCCTGGATTCCATAATATATGTCCTTTTCACTACACTATGCACAGAACTGAGATTTCTGCAGCATGGATCTCACTAAGCAAACAGGACCTGAATAGTCTCCTTCATTTCTGGGTAAAGACCTACTTTGTTTTCACAGAATTTATTGTGTAACTGAATGGAAGATAGAAGGACTTTGAACTCAAACAGTATCTCTATCTTCTGAAAAACATCAAATTCTTTTCTAAATAACTAGTTTTGTTTTTTTTTTTTTTTTTTACTGTAATGAGTTTATACAACCACCTCCAAGGTTGTGGAGAACTACAATCCCTCCCCATGAAGGCCACTAAGGATATTAGGATGAGGCTCTAGGAGTACTGGGCTGGGTATCCATGAAACCTGAGTTCTCATTCCCATTCTCAGTGACATTGGGAAAATCACTTAGACTTTCTGCACCCGTTTCACTTAGACTTTCTGCATCAGTGTTTAAATGGGTCCTTCCATCCACTGGAACATGTGTGTGTGTATAGGTTTCCCCCAAAGATAAGCAATTTGGGGGCCCCAGCAGTTTCCTAAGAATTCAACTCAATTCTAACACTCCCTACCCTGAAATGGCATTAGATTCCACAGGTTCAGGGTGAAGACTCCTAAGATCACCCTCCATTTTAGGTGCCAGTCTCAAATCCAGGTTGTCACCTGCACTTCTGTTCAGCTGGCTTAAGTCAGAGATTCCCACAACTCCCTCTGCAGATTTGTCTAATTTGCTAAAATAACTTACAGAATCCAGGAGACATGTTTACTTACTATATCACTGATGTACTACAAAGGATGTAACTCAGGAACAGATGAAGAGGTGCACAGGGCAAGGTATGGAGAAAGGGCACAGAGCTCCCATGCCCTCCCTTGGCAGGTACACCATTCCCCCCAAATATTCACACATTCACCAACCTGAAAGTTTTCTGAATCCCTTCTCTTGGGCTTTTACAAGGACTTCATCACATAGGCATGTGTGTTAAATCACTGACCACTTAATCCCATTTCCTCTCCCCACCCTGGAAGTCTGGGGAGTGGGAGGTAGATCTGGAATTGCCAACCCTCTAATCAAAAAGTTGGTTTCCCTGGCACCCAACCCCCAAATTTAGATGCTCCCAAAAGTCCCCCCACTCACAAAATGATACCTTTATCACTCTGGACACTCAGGTAATTTCAAGTGTTGGGGAGCTGAGAGACAGGAACTGTGGGTGAAGACCAAATATATATGAGAAATATATGTATTTGTTATAAACCACAGTACCATAGTGTCTTTTCTCATTTGTGAAGTGCTGGAGGAAAAAATGAGGATGGTGGAAACAGGCTAGTACATGGAACTTGTACATGAAAAGGCACAGGAGGTTTCCTGAACAGAGAGCAGCCCCTCAGCATGTGGCAGCGACGTGGGACAGTGAATGATGGCAGAGCAAAGCACTGGCTGTGGCTCATCCTAGCTTCAGTACTTCATCAAGGACACTCACTTAAATAACGTCCAGACTGCTCTCGGAGTCCACTGACAGTCCAGTCAAAGCAGAGCTTCCCACCACCCCAGGCTCAGGAACCAGTGGCTCTGGGGAGGATGGGCTGCTGCCTTGGCCTGCCAAAGTTTGGGATATGATGAAATGTACACAGAGGCAGAAGAACACAAAGATCAGTGAGGAGACTTGCTGCATCATCAGAACACTAAGGTACTTGGTTTCCTCTGACACCATATACAACTAATCACATAGCAGCTGAAAAAGAATTACAAAAGAGGGGAAAGGAGCATTTAAGACAAATTTTTCTTCAGAAATTCATTGGGAAAATAGACCAGGTTTTGAATTTTTCAATCACACCCAAACTGACTTTTAAGCTTCCAGGCATCTCCACTGTGGCCATCTCTTCTCTTGTCCATTTGTAGCTAACAAGACAGCATTACCTTCCTACTTCTGACCTCTTGTGGAGTTCACCCTGATTTCTGTGCTGTTCTTGCTCCCTGCTACTCACATCTAGTGTTTAGTGATATTTGCTTTTCCCACTCCAGGGAAACCGTTTTTGGTATCATTCTGAAACCCCAGTGCCCACCCAGCACAGTGGCTGGAGCTCAGTATGCACTGATCAGTGAACTGTAGCCACGAATCCTTACAACCCCACGAGGCTTCTACTAACAACTCATGCTTATAGAGAGCAACTCCACAGTAAACCAACAGAAAGAAAATTCCAGCCTAAGTAAGTCTCCTGCGCCTGGTCTACTCCTTTTTACCATGTGCCTACCGCCAAATGCTTGGCACATAGTAGGTGCTCACAAAAGGTAGATGGAGCTACAGATTAAATTCCAATCTTACATATATAATTTACAGAAATAAGCAAATCACTTATCCGCCCTCCATCCTCATCGTTGAATCAGGGCAAAAAATAATACCAGAAGAAAATAGCAAAGGGAGAATGAGACATTGAGACCCAGTGTTTCCTTGCACTTGCACAAATTATCATGCCTTTTTTTTTTTCCATTCAGGAACATGCCCCTTTGCTGCCTCCTAGCCCAGTCTTCAGGTGTTCCTTACCTGCTTCTGACTAATATCCCTGGGGCTGCAGACCCTCCAGGTCCTCAGGAACCAGCACTAGTCTCCATGTGAGTGATGTTTGCTTTATTGGATATGGAGGCCAAGGCTCATTTGTCTCAGCATGATCAAATAACATCTGTAAAGACAGTGGGTGGAAACAGAAGAGGTAAGAGCTGTTTTCCAGTAGTGGCAGGGTTAACAATTAACGATAGGCACTTCTACTAGGCTCCAGTTTTGGCACTGGTCTCGACTATGGCTCAAGCTAGGAGGCTCCAAGGGACTCATCAAACAAGAGGGAGAGAAGAGGCTGGCACAGAAGCAGTGTTCTGGATCTGTGTACAGCACAGAGCCTGGAATAGGCTATCCTTGGTAAGAACAAGCTAGAATGACAGAGCTGGCACCGTTAATCAATCCAAGAAGAAAGGTTTATTGAGTCACTGGATGGGGACACATTCATAGCAATTTGGGAAAGAGAGAATTAGGTTCACCCCAAAATAAACTCTAGACAGATCTGTAAATCTTATTTCTTATCAAAGAATATTTAATGACCTATCAGCATGATAACTGAAAAAAATGTACATATTATCCAAATTAAAAAACTGTATTTAAAAAATGTATATGTGAGAAAGAGAAAAGACTAAAATCAATACTTATTACACTCATATATACATCCTGAATGGTTGAAAAGGGACCGTTTTTATTTTTTATAATTTTTGTATATTCCCAAATTTCTAAAATGTGCATGCAATACCCTCAGCTTTGGAAAAAAATAATAAAGATAGAATTTTTAAAAACCTAAAAATAGAATTCTATATTTGTCTGCTTTTCTTTCTTGCAGTATGTAAAAATATTGCAAAGCTAAAGCTTGAAACAGTCACTTGCAAGAAAATTTCAACTGCTACATAGGAAAATACTAGAAATGTACTAGAAATGAAAACAAGAGTCAAGTTACAAAGGGTTAACCCAGTCAAAATATCCCAAATAAATGGACTGTTGACATGAACAGAAAAATCATAAAGTAGAAAGTACAATTAACAGACAGTAATTCTAAAAGTGATAACTGGATTGTAATGAAATTGGTGTATTTTGAGGGAAGAACTGCTGGCTAATACACATTGTATAAACTAGTATCTATATATCGGTTATCCCTTTTAGATTTCTTTCACAACTAGTCATAATCAATCGCTTATTTGTTAATTGAAATTTTATTGCAAGTCACTGTATTAAGCTATATCTGCTAGGACAATTTGCACACTAAGATTAAAATCATTTCCCAACCAGGATATTTTTTAAAATCAAAATCTATTTTAGGGGCCTCCCCTGGTGGCGCAGGTGGTTGAGCACAGCACTGTGAAGCTGTCTGCAGCCTCTGCAGTGCAGTTGGATCCCTGCCGACGAGATACGCACATGGTGCGGCAGACCCCTCATGACTCACCAGCTGCTCCCCTTAGCAATATATTTCGGTCAGTCCACCTGGTGAATCCTCTCATCCCCCACACCTCTGGCATGTACCCCAGTTCTTGTATGCATGAATAAATAAATCTTAAAAAAAATATATCTATTTTAGGTCCTAAGGGACTTCCAAAAGCAGTCACTGAAATAATCTTCAATCCAAAGTGATAACAGAATTCTCAACTCTGGTGAGAACATTTAGAATTCATGACAATGATGGCTACTATTTATTTAGTACTAGCAATGTGCTAAACACTAACTTTAACTTGTAGGTTATGAGTATGAGCTCTGGAATTAGGTTAACTTGGGCGAGAGTTCAAACTCTACCTGTCACCAGTTACATGGCCGTGGTCAAGTGACTTAACTCCCTAAGATTCAGCTTATTCATCTGTAAAATGGGAGCAGTAATAACAAAGGTGACTTCAGACACTTGAAATTTAAACAATCTATAAGATAAGCCACCCAGAGGCTGCGACAGTGCCTGTGACAATATTAGAAGCATCACCTCATGTTGTGCTCATCATCCCTATTGTGTGGTACCATTACTATCCCCATTTTACCAATTGGGAGGTGAGGGAAAATAATTTTCCCAGAATCACTCATCTCTAGTGCTCCAAAGGTCCTAAGAACTTTTATTTTTTTATAGCTCTGCAGATAAATGCATGCAATGCCCCATCTACCCTGTCACATGGGGTCATACCACCTCGGACTCCAATACTCACTTAAAAGTGGTGCCCCTGGACTTTGAAGTTTTCTTGACTCCACCAAAAGTGACATGACCCACTATGCCTTTTCTGGTTCTCATCAAATTACATGACTTCTATGTTTACAGGTTTGTCCCCATTAGACTGAAAGACCCTTTAAAATTGACCTCTGATCTCCACACCTAACCAAGCTCTGAACCACAATTGGAAAGTGCTCAGAAGTTATTGAGGGAAAGTAGGAAGCTTGCTCTGACATCACCCCAACCTGCTCTCCTCATCCTTGAATGGTTAGAATTACTTCAACCCACCTACTCCCCATCCACCCATCTCCTTCAAAGACTAGATCCCCTTTATAGCACTGTCACTGAAGAAGTTTGTCTGTTGGATACACTGAGGGACTTCACTGCCTCCCCAGGTTGCACATTAGTGTGTGAGCAGCTCTGCCTCTAGGGTAGGTCTGAGAATGAAGAGAAATTAATAAGTGCTGTGGTTTTCAAGTTCTATTTTCTGCAGCCACATAGACTCAGAATGAGAGCCACTAACACATGACTCTACACTCAGCACTAAGAAATACATATGTGTGAACTCAGTTTCTCCACCCATGAGATTCCTGTTCATTATTTGAATATTTTCGTTCTCTGCGACACTACATCTGTCTTAACTGTTGGGCATAATAACATCTTCTACCTACAGAATCATTCAAGTCCCCTGGCCTCTCAGTTCTTTAACCTCCTCTACTCTACTAATGGTTAAGCCAGCCACTCACCCAACATGATAGAAATGATCTTGTCATTTCCCAAAAAATGTACCCCCTCAATTATCTTTTTTTTTAAAGATTTATTTATTTATATAAGAACCAGGGTACAGGCTAGATGTGCAGGAGGGTGAGAGGATTCACCAGAGCTGGGAACAGAACAGGCACACTGACGAAATACACTGCTGAGGGGAGCAGCGGGGAGACAGAAGAGGTCTGCTGCACCATGTGGGATTCTCGCCGGCCGGCAGGGATCGAACCCGCACTGCAGAGGCTGTGGATAGCTTCACAGCGTGGCGCTCAACCACCTGCGCCACCAAGGAAGCCCCCTACCTCAATTATCCTGATTTCAGGCACCCCAGTCTAATCACCACTCCTACCTTTGCAGCTTCACCCAATGAATATCTGACTCCAAGATCTCCAACAACCTGGGTTTGATCCCACTACCTTCTATCTCTCATTTTCCTCCTGTCCTCACTTACCTTCCTACTCAGCTTAAATACCATAGTCAAACGAACTGACCTCTCTTGTCATACACAGTTGGAATTCAACTTACTCTTCTATTCCACACCTACAAGCATGCAGCTAAATGACTAGGAAAAATAAAATCATACAATGGCACTGATTTCACTTCAGCTTTATAATCATTAACTACAAGCAACTCCTAAATGGTCCTCACACTACTTGTCCAGTGTATTCATCCGCCACTCTCCAAGAAAGTATTTGTAGTCCCCTCCCTCAAATTTCCCAACATCTTCACTCCCACCTCATGAGAAGAAAGGAAGCTACTAGAATATAACTTCTACATGCAGACATTTGTACCACAGTCACCCACATCACCTGCATTCATGCCCCTATGACCTCTTATTACTTTAGAAGAATTGGCTGCATCCAACACCTGTCCTCTATATCCTATATGCCTTTGTTAACTTAAGGATGTTCTTTTACAAAAATGTCCTTCTGCATGAAAATCAGAAATCATTCCCATCAGGATACAGACATCTATTGTTATTCCTACCTTAAAAAGAACCTCTCATTATTTAGGCAGACTCTACCAGATCCTGATCAGTCTTAGGATCACTAATAATGTGATTTTTTTTTAAAAGATTTATTTATTTATTTATACAAGCACTGGGTACAGTCAGAAGTGCGGGAGGGTAAGAGAATTCACCAGAGCCAGAGCGGAGAACAGAATAGGCAGAGTGACGAAATACACTGCTGAGGGGAGCAGCGGGCACGACAGGAGAGTTCTGTCACGCCATGTGGGACCCTCGCTGGTGGCCAGGGATCGAACCGGCGCTGCAGAGGCTGCGGGCAGCTTCGCAGCCCAGCGCTCAACCGCTGCACCACCAGGGGAGGCCCATAATGTGATACTTAAATGGACAGTATGTGGGGCCTCCCTGATGGCTCAAGGGGTTAAGTCTCAGCACTATGAAGCTATCCACAGCCACTGCAGCACTGGGCTCCATCCCAGGCCAGGGAGATGACCCACATGGCGCAGCAGACCTCGCCTGTCTAGCCCGCTGCTCCCCTCAGCAGTGTATTTCAGTCAATCCGCCTATTCTGTTCCCCACTCTGTCTCTGGTGAATCCTGTCACCCCTCACACCTCTGGCCTGTACCCCAGTTCTTGTATTCATCAATAAATAAATCTTTAAAAAAAATAAGTAGCATGTGCCTTCGACATAAGGAAATCTGAAGGACACAGCACTACCTGTAGAATATCTTGCCCAATATATTTAACTTGTATATGATCAAGCCTTCACATGTAATTCCAGTTCTTAGAAAATTCAGGAGAAAAAAGAACAAGTTAAATGACACTATAATTATCAGACAAATTCAAAAAGCAACACTTTCTACTGGACAAAAGAACTGCTTTCAGCAACAAGTCGATGGGCCTGAAAAACAAATGGCTTAAAAAGACGTAAGAACGATATGCAATTTGTAGACCTCCCTTGAGTCTTTAGGGACGAACGGAGAAATCTGAACATAGACTTAATATAATTATAACATATTATAATGATATTAAGAAATCACTATTAATTGTTTTATATATATTAGTAGCATTATTATATTGTGGTTAAGTATGTAGTTGTGTAGAACAAAAGTGTTATGCACGTGAAGTTATTAGAAATGAAATCTACTTTACAATACCTCAAACACATAAGAGCAAATAAAAAAATTCATTATCATTTTTTCAAATGTATTCAAATTAAGCTTCATAAGGA